CATCCTGGGATTTTTTGTGACCACAGATAGTCAGGACCTCAGTTTAACGTCTCATCCGAAGGACGGTGCTCTTTGACGGTATAGCGTCCCCATTACTATACTGGGGTGTTAGGACCCACACAGACCACAGGGTGAGCGCCCCCTGCTGGCCTCACTAACACCTCTTCCAGCAGCAACCTGGTTTTCTCAGAAGGTCTTCACCCAGGTACTAACCAGGCTCAGCCCTGCTTAGCTTCAGTGGGCAACCAGTCTTGGGCTACAGGGTGATATGGCTGCTGACCTACTAGACCTACTAGAATTAGAGACAGGTGTTAATCATCATGCACTTCTAGGTCCATTAGGGCCTGGTGGAGACTGGCGAGCGATTTGACCTGCTCCGCAAGTGGAATTTGGCGTGCAGACTTCTTCGCCCTGGGCTTCGGCATCACTGTGACAATATTCATAAATAAAAGCGCTCTTGCACATTCAATATACAGTAACAAAGATTTCCAACACATAGATAGAACATGTCCTCATGCCGGGGTTACACCCCTACTCTTTCGAAAGACATCCTGGGATTTTTTGTGACCACAGATAGTCAGGACCTCAGTTTAACGTCTCATCCGAAGGACGGTGCTCTTTGACGGTATAGCGTCCCCATTACTATACTGGGGTGTTAGGACCCACACAGACCACAGGGTGAGCGCCCCCTGCTGGCCTCACTAACACCTCTTCCAGCAGCAACCTGGTTTTCTCAGAAGGTCTTCACCCAGGTACTAACCAGGCTCAGCCCTGCTTAGCTTCAGTGGGCAACCAGTCTTGGGCTACAGGGTGATATGGCTGCTGACCTACTAGACCTACTAGAATTAGAGACAGGTGTTAATCATCATGCACTTCTAGGACCTCTTTTTAGGACTCTGCTTTACTACACCCCCCTCGCCACAGTCACATTTGTTTTTGTTTTTCTTTTTTAGAGAGTAATATTGGAACACATTACTTTTAAAAGTAACTTTCCCCAACAATGCAATAAATAAACTTGCTTTTATAATTTTTTATTATAATGCATTCATTTATAAAAAAAAAAAATCAAATTCATACAGTATTTAGAGAGTCAATTTTTTGGGGGGTTATCAGACATTAATGCAATACAGCTGTGCAAACTTGTGGTTAATCTGCTAGGACAAATGTGTGAAGGGAAATACTTCAAGCATCAGATAAAAATCACATTGAAATCTGTTGGTTAAATGTTCATGTTTTCAGATGCAGCTTGGCATCTAATGCAATGACATTCATGCATTAGTGTCCAAACACATTTTTAGGCGTCGTTGTGTAGTCACAATATTGGTTGTGCTTTGTCCAAGGTCACATAGGGTTCTCTCAGTGTACAGAACCAAACGACCCCTTACCTTCTAAACCGGGGTGTAAACATGTGTGCGAGAGACAACTGTGGCTTCTCGTGGTGCATCAGCACAGTCCTGCGGTTGATTGGCTCTGTGCTCCATGGTGGTTTGAATACAGTACCAAAAGTGAAGTGTCGACTTGTTCTTTTTTCATCCAATTTGGGGTTAGAGCGCTTTTTATGTGTCGAGCTTGTGTTCACGTCGGATCATTTTGGGGTGAGAATGATAGTAACACATTTTTATGAGATGCTATCTTTATATAATCTATTCTGTATTTAGTTTATCACAGATGTGGGTAGTTTTAGATTTAAAATAAATACATCATATTCTAATGTAGTCTCTTATTTACTCAGAATTGCTAATATTTAATAAAGTGATTTTAGAAGAAAAGCATGTCAACAACCTATGCATTAAGTTCTGAAGTTTTTCTTCCATGAAAATATTTCTCACTATATACGACTCTTTCAACCTGGCAACATTTGGTTACGCCAACCTAAGTCATTTTATGGTACCAGCTGCACAGTTTTAAAAGTGTTCTGACAGGTTTTGGTTTAATTAAAACGCATTGGATCATTTTAGCCGTCGGTTTTAAGAAGTTTTGGGCACATTGTACGATGTCACCTATTCAAACAGCAAACTTGTGCTGTAATGGCGCATGTTTCTGCAGCATGTTTATGTGACTCTGCTGCATCCTGGTTTAGTGTTGTGTGAGGTATGTGGGAATGTGTGGGTGTTTATATATGTGTGAATACAATGCATGTCAAGTGCACATATGTTTGCTTGAGTTTCACATGACTTCTGTGTTCGCTTGTGTGGCGAGCAGGACGAGGGACCTGAGAGAACGGCGCGAGGCCGGTGGCATGATTAATGATGAAGACGCAACGGTCTCGTATCTCTCACGTCCCTCGACCCCGTCCTGCTTGCCACAGCTTTTTTTTTTTTTAGCATGCTCTGAAGTGTAAGCTTACACAACCTTGCAAGTGTCCATATGATTGTCATAAACGCTCTTAGCGAATATAAAGACAGAAAGTGTTAACCATGGTTTTTTTCACACTTTGAGCTGTACAGGGGAGGATGTGGTGTGTGAATGTATATGTGTGTGTGTGTGTGGACAGGGAGAGCTACAAACTAGGCCGCACACCAAGTTGCCACAGGATGTGTTTATCTAAAATTGGGCCCCTCGACTGCGCACTACCAGAGCTTTATTTGTCACTTTATTTTTGACCATAAATCACTTTTAATCTTGATGTTTTTACATTTTATATAAAATAAACATACAATTGGTTTATTATTTGAACAGAACTGGATAATTAACATCTAGAATTTAAATTCATATTGTAATTTCTTTCCGATTCCTTAATAAGCAGTGTCATGTTTTTTTTTTTTTTTGTGTCTGACTTGAGGAAACTAATTTAAAACACAAAATAATATTTAGATTTTTTTATTTTCTTATTTTTTATTTCAGCTATATTATATATATACTGTAGTAAGGTCCTCATAGGTTCATTTAAACATGGAAATTAAGAGAAAGTTTTATGATTACAGAAAACAACAAAAATGCACCTAAAACATTTATGATAAAAACAAAATAATGTTTTATTGATAAATGCTGAAAAGTGTGAAATTCAGTTCACTCAAATTGCTGTGATAATATCATTTAAAATGGGAATGTTTGTATTAAATTAGAAAATGTGATATACATTGTTTTTTTTTATAGTGTTATACATGTTTTAGGCGATTTTTTTATGTTTTAATTTACATTAACCATTTTTAATCTTTGTTAATGTTAGTTAATAAAAAATAGTTCATGTTAAGCCCATTAAATAATATTAAAAGATACAACTTTTGATTTTAATAAGGTATTAGTAAATGTTGAAATTAACATTAAGATTATCAAATGCTTTCTAAGTATTTTTCATTGTTTGATCGTTTTAACTAATGTAGTGTAATTACAACAAATGGAACCTTATTTTAACGTGTTACCATTACTTTTATATTTAGTCTCTATTCACTTTCATGCGTGGTTAACTGGTGTTTAAACAGGATGGAACAATCATCACATCAAATTTAAACATATTTGAGCTGATATGAGGGGCCAAAGAGCTGACCAGCGTCAGACCAAAAATACACCTGCTTTCTCGTCAAGCACTGAAACTGTTTTTTGCCTCAGAGACCATGATGATGTGTTGAGAGTTTTAGTCGAATGGTTACTCTTTCTGTCTTAAAAGAACATGCATAGACAACAGGCATGTATTTGAACTCAAAAGTTTGGGGTCAGTCCGATTTTTGCTAGTTTGTTTTGAAAGAAATAATACTTTTATTCAGCAAGGATGCCTTAAGTTGATTAGAAGTGATAGTAAAGGCATTTATAATGTTACAAAAGACTTCCGTTTCAAATAAATTTTGTTCTTTTATTAGATAAAACAATCCAGGGGGAAAAAAAGTTTTAAAAAAAGGTTTTTAACATTGATGATAATAATAGGAAGACATGTTTCTTTAGCATCGAATAAGAATATTAGAATGATTTCTGAAGGATCATGTGATCATAAAATCAGCTTTAAACACCACTGGAATAAATTGTAATAATATTTTACAATATTACTGTTTTATCTGTGTTTGATCAAATAAATATAAAATAAAAATAAGTGCAGCCCTTGTGACTGCAAAATGACCACAAACCTTTGATTAAGTGCTAAAATGAATTTAATAACATGAATCTGCATTCATGCAAAATTAAAAAAAACTGATTTAAAAGGGTAGTTCACTTTAACAAAAAACAAAAACAAAAAAACTTTTGCTAATAATTTACTCACCCGCATGTCATCCGAGATGTCCACGTCTTTCTTTTTTCAGTCGAAAAGATATTAAGGTTTTTGATGAAATCATTCCAGGATTTTATCCATATAATGGACTCCAATGGGAACCAAACGGTTCAAGGTCCAAATGAGAGGTTCAGTGCAGCTTCAAAGGGCTTTAAATGACACCAGACGATGAATAAGAGTCTTATCTAGAACCCTTTGAGTCATGACTCGAAAAAAGATACGTTAATTTTGATGAACGAGATCGAACAGGAGAGTCACGAACGCTCATCACAGAACAGAACAAGACGAGCATTTGTGCTTATAAAACGTAACATTTTTTATTTTTTTTTTATAAATGAGCTATCGTTTTGCTAGATAAGACTCTTATTCATCGCCTGGTGTCGTTTAAAGCCCTTTGAAGCTGCACTGAAACTCTCATTTAGACCTTGAACCGTTTGGTTCCCATTGAAGTCCATTATATGGAGAAAATCCTGGAATGTTTTCATCAAAAACCTTAATTTCTTTTCGACTGAAGAAAGAAAGACGTGGACATCTTAGGTGACATGGGGGTGAGTAAGTGAGTAAATTATCAGCAAAAAAGTGAACTACTCCTTTTAATGCATAAAAAAACGGGTAAATAGATTTTGAAGATTATATGTAAACTGTGCCACATATGACTGTTCAAATCTCTTAGTTTGTGGTTTTCTTCTGAAATGAAACTGCATTAAAAAGATTGTCCACTGATAACAGAGAAGTGTTCTATTTCTAGCTCTCTTGTTCAGTTACTCACTCTGTTGTTCTGTCATCGTCTCGTTGGCAGGTTCGGTGGAGATGACGTTCAGGTGTAAGTTCTGTGGCCGAGGTGGACGGGACAGGCGATCTCTGCGCTCGCTCAGGAGGGGTGTCGGGGGAGAGAAGCCTTACCAGTGCAAACAGTGTAGCAAGAGGTTCAGCCTTAAACACCAGCTGGACACTCATTACCGGGTCCACACAGGTACAACTGACAGCAGAGCCTTCCTGCAAAGCTTCAGCTCCAACCTGGAGTTTCCCATTGATCCTGAGCATCTTCACTTTCTAAGAAAAATTAAATCAAACACCATGTTTCACTGCATCAAGATTAGATCTATAATATGAATCAGTGTTGTTTTACTACGGCATTGAGATACTATTTGGCCTTTTGAATTTTTAATATCTCTTCTTTCCAGGTGAAAAACCATTTGAGTGTCGGCTGTGCGGCCAACGTTCCCGTGACTATTCGGCTATGATTAAGCACCTGCGCACTCACGGCGGCGCCACACCGTACCAGTGCACCCTGTGCCTGGAGTTTTGTAGCAGTCTGGCAGCCATGCAGAAACACCTGAAGAACCACCCCGCGCAGGACTTCCCTCCAGACTGGAGCCTGAACAGCACATACCTGTACAACAGCCACACCTGACCATGCAAAAACTGGACATTTGAGTCCAGGGGGATAACATGTAGATACGGAACATTTAAAGGAGTAGTTCACTTTAAAAAAAAAAATTGCTGATCATTTACTCACCCCCATGTCATCCAAGATGTCCACGGCTTTCTTTCTTCATTCGAAAAGAAATTAAGGTTTTTGGACTTCAATGGACTTTATTGGGAACCAAACGGTTCAAGGTCCAAATGAGAGTTTCAGTGCAGCTTTAAACGACACAAGACGATGAATAAGGGTCTTATCTATGACCCTTTGAGTCATGACCCGAAAAAAGATTTGTTCATTTTGATGAACGAGTTTGAACAGGAGAGTCACGAATGCTCATCACAGAGAGCAAGGGACATTTGTGCTTATAAAACTTAAACTTTTTTATTTATATTTTAAATGACAGATCGTTTCGCTAGATGAGACCCTTATTCATCGTCTTGTGTCGTTTAAAGCCATTTGAAGCTGCACTGAAACTCTCATTTGGACCTTGAACCGTTTGGTTCCCAATGAAGTCCTTTATATGGAGAAAGTCCTGGAATGTTTTCATCAAAAACCTTAATTTCTTTTCAGCTGAAGAAAGAAAGACATGGATATCTTGGATGACATGGGGGTGAGTAAATTATCAGCAAAAATTTTTTTTTTTTTTAAAGTGAACTACTCCTTTAATACACTTTTGTTATTTTGAATACTTTTATAAATCTATTTTGAAGCCATTTTACAAATATGATAATATATTTAATTTACATACAAGGGACATTTATGACAATGTCGGATGTTTACTTTTAAGACGTCTAGATGAAGTAGATTGTAATTTCATTGCATTTTTTTCTCTGCGAAATATCAGTCATCACAATAGCATACAAAATCCATGTTTATTTATTGAGCTGGTGAACTCTGAAACATTTATCTAAGCACTCACTATGTGATCTATTTACACACTGTATGCAATCTTTTAATAAAAGCATTATGATTCAAACTGAAAGAGTTTGTGACTTTTTTTAATCTGTGAAACATGAAAGCCTATTAAGAAGAGCTTGACAGTTGGCCTATATTCGGAATAAATACATTAGTTTAGTCTGTGGCTGATTTGTTGTCAACCGAATCTATGTAGCCTATTGATTTCTGTTCCGAACCAATTCAATGTGGAAATTTACCCAGCCCTCCATCTTCCCCAGCACCACCTGCTTAAATCTACTTGGGGATTCTCCCTACTTTCCTTGGATTCTCTTCACTACATTTAGTGCATGTTTCGGCAGAAGCCTTAAAGGAGTCATGAACTGGCTTTTTAAATTTTATTATATTGTTGTCTGAGGTGAACTTTTTCGCTTGGTTTTTGCATTCAAAAACATCAAAATGAATAAGTAATAGGCTATTTTCTACCCTAGTTTTGAGCCCAGCTCAGAAACGCTCGGTTTTTATGGGCGTCTCGCACTGAAGACTTGGAAGTAAACACCCACTGCTGTGAGTGGATAACAGTTTTGCATATTATAATGAGTTTCAACTCACCTGTCGATGCACTTGGGGGAAATTCTTTTGAAAACGTCCAATGTTGTAAAATGGCAACCAGAATGATTCGCCCGTACATGTTCGACCCAGAGTCCGTGTGTTGCACAATTCCTGTCAGATCCAATATAGACGGCACAGCACCATTCTTTACTCTTAATCGGCCTGAAAATCCAGTCTTGTTTACAAAACAATCCTCAGTGAAATGAAGCAAACCAACGGTTTTACCCTCATCAGCTGGAATGTCATTAAAAATAAAGTTTTGCAGTCCTACTGGAATCCAGAGGAAGCCTATGCAGCGTCTTCTTCCACAACCAGGCACGGCACAATATTTTGTATTGCTCGGTAGCTCGATCCGGATTGTCATCACAACTCGAGGTAAGTGGTAGGAATCTATGTAATTTATCTATGCGTGTAATGCCCGAATCGGTGGGCGGGGCTAAACCTGCCGTGTTGAAGTAGGCGTTGATCTTCTTCTGAGGGGGTGGGTTTTTATCCTCTTTGACGTCATAGTTCCCCACCTTAAAAACGAGTCGTTTGCTGAGGCTGGTGTCAATATAAGCTTTTATTGGACTAACAAGGACGCTTTCAGTTCTGAAACTTACAGGATATTCTTATTATACGATGACCTCTTAGATATCAAAAGCTCAAGGAAAATTTGATTTCTCAGTTAATCACCCCTTTAAGGGGATATTTCACCAAAAATGTGAAATATGAATAGAGCGATTGTTTCTACTGTAGATTGTTTCTCCAGAAACAATCGCTTTATGATGAACAGATTTATTTACATATAATCACGTCAAAATAATAGTTGCGTAGACTGTCAGTAGAGGGTAATATGAGGGAGAGTAAATGATAACATAATTTTCACTATGCCTTTACCTCATCATCATCATCAGTGAGATAGATCTAGTCCACCAAGAAAGCCTATGTACATTATATTCTTATCAATACTGTTTAGATCTATTCAGAGTTGTTGTGATTGAAATTTCTGCACTTATGATGACAATACTGTACAGATTAACTAAAAACAAAATGGTGTAGTTGTTGCATCAACCAGCAGCGGCAGACAAAAAGGTCAAACAATGCATAGGGCAAAAGGCTCGGTTCCGCTGCCGTCTGGCCCTGGAGCCTTTCAAGAGCCATTCCACCCAATGGGTGATATTTGCTTGTTGTAACTTTAATTTAATTTTTTTTCAATACTGAATCTATTACTACACATACTTAACTATTCAAAATGTGCATTGGTCAATCTCAGGCATCTTTATTTAATTTTTTACAAGGTTTCTAAGTAGAATATGAACGCATGTTTTCTCAGTCCTGTTACCGAAACTCATGTGCCATTTAAAAAGCATGTTTAAAAGCATGTCTATTAATTCCTTTGTTTTCCCCACAAGAAAATATTTATTTTAAACAAATTGTTGGTTATATGTTCAAATAATTGATATTTATGACAAAAAATCACTATATATTAAGGCAAGGTGTATTTTAATATAAAACACAAAGCCATTTTTTTTTCACTTTAAAGAAAACCGAAGCCTCAAGTTTATAATTTTTAAAATAATTTAATTTATTAAACAAATGTATAAATGATAGACCAAACACAACTGATAAAAACAGTGGTTTAACATAAAAAAAAAATTAAAAACAAAAAATGAAACAAGAATTATGTATTTTTTCCTACTATGTTAGTCAATGGGGATTGAGATCTGTTTGATTAAAACATTCTTCCAAATATCTTCATTTGTGTTCAGCAGAACAAATAAACATGAGGGTGAGTAAATACTGACAGAATTTTTATTTTTGGGTGAACTAACCCTTTAAGTTACTTTGTGGTGGACTGGCTTCCTGGAAGTATGGTGTTCACAGTGTAAAACTAATGCTAAAGTCTACAATTTCAGTAAATGCAACCTTAAACCTCATAATTCAGGTGAATACTATTATATCAAATAATATTTACAGTATTAAATCAACAAAACAGAGGACTCTACTCACTCCTGTTACTTTAACTCACTCCTGCTATTTACATACAAGTAACAGGACTGAAAGTAACAGGATTGAGTTTTTAAGCAAAAAGTTATCAAATACATGACATAGTATACATGCTAATAGCATAAGGACACGTAAAAAATTGTAGTGATTTTACAAAAGTTGATATTTTTAAAATAAATGAATAAAATCTAAGAAATATTTTAGGTAACAGTACAGCATGTTGAGATTGACCTTCTCAGACATAGTTACAATTTCATCAAATATACAGAAATTCAATTGTGAGGACTTACTTATGGTCTTCCCATTGCCTTCAGAAGATCCAGACGATGCAGCTTCTTGTTGAAAATTTGTTTTGTGGAATATTCCAAGTTTTTTAGAGAGGGGCGGGGGGCGGGGGGGGGGGGGTTGTGTTAGGGTAACAGGACTGAGTGAAAACCCGGGGACACAACAAAAATTTGTATTTTATCTAAAATATTAGATAAAATATTTTTTTCTCATGAAAAGAAAGCATTTTAAAGCATAGATTGGATATAAAGTCATAAAACAAGGCAAAAAAAAGATTTCTGAAGGATTTTAATCATTACATTTCATAGTAAAGTTTAGAGATGGAGATTGGGCACATGCAGAAAATGCTATTTTGTGTTCTATGATATTTTTAATTATACATTTTAAATTTGTAGTTAGCAGGACATTTTGATAAATCACTGTAAAAAAATATTGTTGGTTTAACTTAAAAAATTAAGTAACCTGGTTGCCTTAAAATTTTAAGTTGATTGAACTGGAAAAAGTGAGTTTATACAATGAAGGAGATTGATTTAATCATCAAAAACTCAAAATAATAAGTTATCTCAACTAAATAAATTATTTAAGTTGATTTGACAAAAGAATACATTTTGTGATAACAAATCTTGAAAATATTTTTTACAGTGTTATAAATGTATTTTAGAGTTAATTTTCGTGCATTTTTATACATATAATGTCCTGGGGACAGAAATGTCACCGTTTCGGTGGAACGGCTCTCAAAGTAATTTGTCCGTGAGCACGGAAAAACGCGTCCAATAAACGCTGCAATATGTAGTGGACTTTATTTCGAGCGCAAATCACTCGCAAATGTTGTACCAAAGAAAATTGGGCTGCACGCGGACATCCTAAGTATACTTTGGACATAACTCTCAACTGGCAAAACATGCTATGTGGTGGCAACGACTGGTTAAAAGTGTGAGTGTGACCTCTTTGTTTCTGACCACAGATCACCACCCTGATGATTATCATAGCTGCCTGCAACTCTGTAGGTCAAGAATAACCAAACATTTCACAACAATGTTTGAGTGTGTGAAAAAAATAGATTTATTTCTTCTGTTTAAAACAGCATAGAAAATTTCTAGAAAAATATTGCATAGGTTACTTGTTTTTTGGTCTCTTTCTCATTGCCATATTTATTTTTCTTTCTTTTTTGAAATTAGAAATGTAGATTTTTTTTTTTTTTTACTTAATATAGGTCACTAGTCTTTTGAAGGATTATTACCAATTATTACATACTTCATAAAAGTCGTGTAGGCCCTATGGCAGACTGATTTTTAGCTTCAACTGGATCCATCGGCGGAGATCAAAAATTTAAG